TAATCTTAAACCAGACAATAAGAACGACAGCTATCGAATTTTTCTCTCCGTTACATAACCGGAATTACACAAGGCATTATTATTACATGTGTGTTTGATGGATTTCGTGTCACCCATTTCGATAATTCAGATAAGAAACAAGCACGGTGATATCGGACCAATCTAACCAAATTAATTTCTTATTTTACGAGAATTAATTGAATAAGGATCTGCTCTCGATAACTCGGTCCGACCCCAACCAACCAACCATCCATTAACGAAACTATTGAAAAGAGGGGTTTCCGAGTTTCGAGCGATCGATTCTAACCAATGATGGCTGGCGTCGATCATGGATTTTTTGCGCATTGATCAAGCATTGTGTGGATTGGTGGTGGAAAAAAGAGGTACGCATGTTTCATTGTGACAACTAAATGATTCGATATTGATCTGATCGGTTGTTCCCAACTTGAACGAATTCTCCAGCATGTCCCTTGTGTGTGAGGACATCGAACGTGGACACACGTAAAGGCGCCGGTTTCATTCATCTGAATTATTAGAACTATGGTTATTACTTGCACAAGGACCACACTCGGGTAATTTCCGTCAGCAGGACATCTTTGACTTGACTCCCTTTTTTGGAAAAAAAAGAAAACCCTTCAAATAAGGTGTTGTTGGTTCAATTGATCTCGTATGGTGATTTTGTTTTCTTTATTCAATTTCCATAGCCGAAAAATTTTTTTCCGATTATGATTTAATTGACCCATATACATCTGCACGGTTTAACTTAACCATATTGTCCGTCTTGAAGATCTGATTGTTTTGGTTGTTTCCGTTTTTCCAGCAAAGTAGATAATCGGACGATTGTTGTAACTACAATAAGTCAGAAATGAAACAAAATCGATACTGTAAAAATAAGTAAAAATGAATAATAAAAAAAATCTCTCAATTTACAACTACAGTATTTTTGCGAACATCCGTCTATTCTCCAATAGCACACACGATTTATACTATTCTAAGAATTTGTCCATTTCGTTCTTTTTCTCTTTTCCTTCACTTGATCCAAAAGATAAAGGGGGTTGGTTGGTTGGAATGTTCATTAATCCCGCATGAAAAACGATGTGAGATGCGGATCTACAAAATTACAACGAGAAGCAATTGTTACTGGGAATCCTTTACGGCA